GACTTGGACTCTACGAAGACACGATGAGTAGGCAGTCAGCATCATTCAACTGTGAAAAGGACAATGCTCGCAGTTGCCTAATATACGAAAAAATGGAGGCCAATCCGGAGTTACGAGTCTGGTCAACGAAACGAAAGAAGATCAGAGACGCTGCCGCATACTAAGGAGGCGAAGATGAGAGGGGCCGGATCCATCACGCGATTTCAAGATGATCGCTGGACCAGAACGATTACTGGTTAGATCTCTAGGAACGTACGAACACAGGTGAACGCCAGCCGCATGAGACTCCTTTGCAAAAGCTCTAAACGAAAGAAGGACTTGCTACTTGGACCTTGAGCAGTAGCGGATTCACTAGCTACCTGGACCTTGAGCAGTAGATTACATTGACTTGCAACCAAATGAAGAACGGCTGATAATCGATGGCAGGTAGTGGATGGGATACTTCCTTTCTAGATATTGGGAAATTCAGCGGCGGTTCTCTAGGAAACGAAAGAATGAGTATGGAAACCTCCAAAATAACGGAAAATTACAGCGATTTTTGGAAATTCATAGGTACAATTCGCATTTATCGTCAAATATCATAGGCCAACATGCAGAAGCAGTGTTCTCACCCAAAACTAGATGTTTTTCATAAATAAACAAACATTTTATCAGTCTCCATCGGTGTAAACAGTATAAATACGGCAGCAAAACCTGTGCATTGAGTTACGTCAATGTTGCATAGAGATTGGCAGTGGTATGTATTACTAAAACCGGAGTCAGGGGGGTGCGTAGCGTCCTTTCCAAGCAGCAGGTGGGCACGGAATGACAGCGCAAAAAGTAACGCTGACTTTCACGTTCACATCCGCTACAAGGACAACCTAACCTATCCATCTAAACCTGGGTTGCGGTCGATTTTCCCGCCTAATAGTACTTACTATCCTTATTCTTCACTCCCTTTGGAATAAAAGGCCAACCACTAAGTAACTGCATTAATCTAAAAATTACCAAACTGGAACAACTCTCGGATATAGGAAAGATGCCCGTACCATTATTAATAAATAACACTAATATTAATAATTGTTGTTTGCGGTAATTATGTTTTTGTGCCGCCCGAGGGTTTTAGGTGAGAGTTTACCAAGTCAAACGGCCTAACGTTAAGACGCAATCGTCGCCTATAGAGGTCTAAATGCATTTCGAGGTGATTTACACGCCATCAACAAGTGTTTTAACCCCTGTTGCAAACGTAACGAAAACAGCTTCTTCGAAACTCGTATTTTGCAAACGACTCACCAAGGTTCTACCACTCAAGCGGAGAAAATTTGAGGGTAATGCAAGAGAGAAGTTGGAGAGTATTAATGATATAGTATACTGTATGTGTTATGAGACTATGGACGTGGAATAAATCCGATCAGTTAGAGCAAATTGAAGAAGTGGTTTGGGGAGACTATAGCCGCGCCTTTTGCCGCTACGGCACCCTCCCGTGCCCTAGGCTCATGCTTTCAATTTTCGTTCATATTGATCTTTTTACTCAACATCTGGCAAAACAAGAAAATGGGATTACGCAGGGGTCCTCGTTGAAAGGAGGGGTAGACATTGAACTGGCATTGTTTCATTGCGCAAATGATTACTCACAAAGTTACATCAATCCTTCCGGCATCGTGCTGGAAAAATATGAAGATCCCTCATTGGAAACAAATAATTTCAAAGAACTGATTGTCATTTTGGAAATAAACTTTAAGCACGTTACTCTGATGTTTACTGCTATTACAATGTTTCATCTGCACTGCATGGAATCAACAAATTTTAGACAGCCCCCAACTGCACGACTTACGCGAGGCCAAACTTTTGCTCTGGACGAGTGATATCCGCCAAGGCTAAAGGACGGTCCGATTTTGAGAGCACTTTAAAATACTATCAATCACTACCAAGAGACTGGTATTCCTGTAAAAGTAGCCGAAAGTAGTCGACCTTGATCATCTGTTGCTAAGCAGTTCATCGAAATGATTAAAAAGAAAATTCATTGTAAAGCGAAGATGTCAAGGAGAAAAATGGACTGTCCATATTGGCGAGAAATTTCTTTGACTGATTATCCAAAACGAGTCATACAAATGGTTCCACGCATAGCAGGGTCTATTCAAATTTAACACGTTGACGACAATGTCGGTCAATGGTGACCGACAGTACTGTAAGTCAACCAAATGAAGAAATTCTCAGGTTTTTTTGTTTCATATTTTACATTTACTTATTTACTCACTAACTTTAGCGTCGACCCGTGATCCATCTAAATCTAAGGTTTTTATGGAAATATTAAGTATCGAGTCAGGAGTCGTACATCATATCACATAACAATTAAAATTTGAACTCCTTCCAACAATTGGCTTCTTACCTCTAATCTTGTTCCCGCCAAACGTTTAAATAGTGATTTCTATGAATGTTCACGATTCAAAGCCTCATACACCGAAATGGTCTACAAATCCCATGNTTTCGGAGAATTCACCCAAATCTTGACAGAATACAAGTTTTTCTTTTATTTCCAGGAGTTTTTACTTGTTTTACACATGAATACAGCAATTTCAATAGGTGTCTGTCCCGTGGGACGAGGTCCGCCAATGGTAGCCGACGATTTGTAGCGCCTTCAGACGGTCTCGTCCCGTGGGTGCGCAAACGAAAAACGCTCTCGTCGTCAACGTGTTAAACAAGGGACCTTTTCAAGGGGGCATAATTTGCGCATAATTTTGTGAATTTCTCAAGAATCAATGCCGCTGTATAACCAGTAATCACTTTTCCGGAAACATCAGCCGACAAACGACCTTGCCTTACACACTGTTGATTCAGATTTGTACAAAAAGCATAATATAACATAAAACTGATGGAAACGAGACCTTGAACTCAAACCCGTCAAAGACGTATCCTGCTTTCCATTTAATGTGTTTTTTCAACTTTCTTTTCGCAAAAAGCCTTCCAAGGATACAAACCGAAATCGAAGAGGGGTGGATGAATTTCTTCGACAGCCTTATGGAAGAATTCCCTGTCGAGGATACAACAAGGGACGACGACCGCCGATCCTATACCACTGCGAATAGAGGATGAACTTCGTCAAGATGCGGGAAAAATAGCGGTTGGTCCAGATGATGATATAACGATACCAATTTGAGCATAGAAGGCACTGAGTGAGCAGAATTATTCTGAGGCGCTTCTTGAACATCGTAATTAGGAAATGTCAGTTTCCAGATTGGAATGGGGAATAAAGTTTCCTTGTTTGGCTAACTCTATTTAGAAGAGGGACATGAGGGAATGCACCNCTGAGGATCAAGTTCAGCGTCCAGGCCCAACTTCATTCGCAGGTCGCCTGGAGGCTGAAGAAACTGGTCACAAGCTCGTGGGAACGATTCGATTTTTACCTAGGGATCCACAACAAATTTTTTTCCATAGCCAGACACACACGGGTGAAGGACAGGTATATAGGAACCGTCGATCCTGCCACCTAGCCTTTGTCGATGTGAAACGTCTGATCATCTTGTAATCCAGTAGAACTCTCAGTGATTAGAACATTCAAAACATCCGAATTTCCTAGCGTAGGAAATGTACGACAATTCCAGTACAGCTAACCGCAGCCCGCACCACTTCAGAAAGGAGGTAGACATAATGATTCAATCTCAACCGATCGACACTGCACCCATTATCCTCTCGACATACATTTGATGTAATGCTAGAAGAGCTTGCGGATGAACCACCGAGACGGCGCTGACGATACCACCTTGATAATGAGGGGCAAGACAGCTCTAGGACAATGTGCCTGAATAATCAAAAAAATCTTCGAACAAATGTGTTGCGGCTGAAAGTGACAAAGGCCAAACTGCTGAGCTTTGAAGAGTCCAACGAGAGCCGATCATAGAGAGGACGCGAATTGAGAAGTGAGTTACCCATTGACAGTAGCGTGGAACGGCAGCAAGTGTTTCTCCTTCGGTAGGAATCATGAAAGACAACTTCATTCCCCTGAAGTTATGATGTTGGAACGGGCTTGAGTAGGATCGAGTCAATGAAACAGAGAACATGTAGACACGATCTGCTACTACAACTAAAGATGCGCGGGCAGCGTCTGAGAACTGGCGGTAAAACTACCGAAACACTGGATCCCAACAAAAGGTGCCTCGAAAGAAAAACTCCAGTTGATAGTTTTTTCGTCTATCCTCCAGATTTTTTTTATAAGCTAAACATCAGATCTTCATTCTCTATAACATTTGGATGGAATGAAACCCAACCGTAATTCCTATGATCCCATCTAAGCGTCTTTTCAGCGTAGGACAATGGTCGGATGAATCTACTTGGTATATGAATGTCAATGAACACTTATTTTGTACAGCTCCAAAGAATTTTTTCCGCTGTCAAGTAATTTTCTCATCCAAAAAATCAAGTAGAACTTCCGTACTTATTATTCAAAATGGACTCCACAGGAATTCCTCTTTCCCCATGCTCTTTTCTCCTACTCACACTTGTTCGTTAATTTTACTTTTGATTGATACAAAGATGAATTATTTGAATGAGCCATGACAACGAAATTACGAAAAGTCACAAATCACAGTCAGTTTGGAACTCTCCTTGAATAAAAAGGAATGAAGAGTTCGCGATACAGCGATTGACGATCACCATTTGAGAAGCGCAAAAGCGCAGAAGAGGGCATCTTGAAACGCTGATTCCAATCATGGTCAATAAAACTCGCGATCTCTTGGAACTTAATTTAGTGAAACGACTTTTACTGGAAAATTACGGCGACGAACCATAGGTTGTTCTTTGGAAACTTGGTGCAGGGAACATTAATTATCCTACATTCACAAGCCATGAAGAGAGGACAGTCAAGCAAACAGGTTTGCAATGTTAGAACAGTCGAAGACGACGTCGTCTCGATTTTTATCATAACTAGCCAACAAGCGTGAGAAATGTTCCCTTTAAATGGCAAAAAAGCCTTTCCCGCCATGCAGGAATACATGCAGAGCAGACCATAATCAGAATTTCAACTACTAACGGAATAAAGGGAATCCCAATTCCGAATTCAAGCGGTTAAATTGCAACAATGTAAGAATAAGCACGGAAATCAAATCTGCGCTAAAAAGCTGTAAACGTCACTGAAGCGTCAAGCATTCTATAACTAAAAAATCGAGGAAACTCACCGATCAGGCGTTGAATGCTCGAACAAACCCAAGCGACGTTCAACAATACTACGTCCCATTGTACGGGTAGCACTACCTTCCAAGTATCGGGGTGACCTAGACAAATCAGAAATTCAAAGGCCTTTCGAGATAAAGACACGAAAACCACTCACTTTCTATATCCACTAAGAGCACAACTGATTCGAACATAACTAGGTACACGATAGGCAGGTGTACCACATTCAGCAAACGCGAGATTGTCTTCTGACATGAACTGTGAAACACCAGCAAGGGGTGTTATTTGAAGATCCTATAAATGAGATACTGACAAAAATGATCCAAATAAACTGGAAATCACAAAAGCGGTATACCACTGAAGCAATTTTGAGCCGAGGTAACTCTGGCGGTTCACTCACTCTCACATTATCCGAAACTGGTCTGCGGAATAGGTAAAAAAGTTTACATGCAACCACTAGTCAATACAGTCTCAGGGTAATTAGCAAGTTTTCAAGAAAAGCTGTAAAAGTGTAACACCAGGAAACCAGGAGTAAAAAGAATAAGCTGTTTACGGGAATTCATACCCTGTTTTACATTCAGATTGCGTCGAATACATTATAAAATTCTCGAAATATCAATCATCACGTATTTCAGATTACCATTATCGATTTAAAAAAATATCGGAACACCTCACACTCTACAATGACCAAGGAAAATCATGCTTCGTGCCACCCCGTGAGCTATGGTTCCGCCTTACAAAGCCCTTTGAATGGACAATTGCAATAGCTTGTATTGTAGCATAAGTGTCTCCCGTTTGCGGCCAAATACTGTTCGTGTGAGAGACATTCTCTTTAGCGATTCATACAATTTGAAAAATTATATTTACCGTGCCACGTTGGAGTGTTACATGACGGAGATCGTTTTCACTCATCGCTGGACGAGGAGTGCCGAATTTCGGTGGAGAAACTGCCACTTCGTCACTATCCGGTGATATAAGATTGATGTCCTATAAAATAATCTTTTTCCACGACAACAATAGACTTTTTTATGTAAAATTATAAAAAATAAGGATGTAGAACGTTGGACATTTGCTTTAGGTAACTGACACGCACCCAGCCTTTGCCCCGAATGTGTGCTTTGGACAAGCATGCATCCAATTAAGTTAAAATCAAACGAGTTAATAATGTGGTTGATCTAAACGGGGCTCAATCAATAGACCAGATGGTCGGGCTATTCCCGGCACTGGCCCACCTCCGTCTTTTCTATTTGGCATGTGTTGTGAGTCACGAAAGACGTCGATGTTGCTGTGGTATAGTATCCTAGGGATCTATTTTTCTGTTTCCATGGAAAAAGACACCACCGATAAGATGAATACGGAAAATAAAGAAATAAACGGGCGTTATTTTTCTACCCCTTCCCAGACTGAATAGCATTTTTTTGAAACGCTTCTAGGAACATTTGTGCAAAAAGCGAAATAGTCGTTGTTTATAATCACTGAATACGGCGATTTCATAATACCTTTTCGCCTCTCTTCGACTTTCTTCTTGAAAGTCTGGTAAGGAGAGTTCCAAATCGATGTGGAGTTTGAGTGACATCGCCACTTAAACAAACAGTTGTCAAGATCGAAACGGTAAAATCCCTTTCTAGACACACATCGAAAACATAAATCAAGTGAAAAGCATGTTTTCAAAAACAGAGCATGCAAGCCTAAAAAGGCTTGAACGAACCTGTCGTCGTGATACGTCCCATTCGCGCTATCAACCTGACCACCACGACTGCTGGCCCTTTTTGGAGTCTCAGTAGACGTTAGACGTGTGACAGCCGGGCTCTTACTCCGTACACGCCGACCCAATCTCGCGAAAAAATTTCCTGAACGAAATGAATCAAATATGGGTTCGTAGCATTTCAAACAGACGTACTTACCGACAGGGGATGCCCTAACCCTCGCATTCTCTACAGGCATCACTAGTGCGGAAAAGCCCAGACGGCTAAGAAAGACCCTGAACAAAGTGTTGACTGAGCTCTAAACATGCAATACAATTACACATTGATAGTGGTTGAATATGAACGGAGAATAACCGCAAAATAGCTATCAAGTGAGCTAACTTATTGGATCAATCTTCATAATATTTTGTAAAACAACAGATTGCCAATAAGCAATAACATTATTAAAAGGACTTGCATGTACAAAAGCGATAGAACCAGAGCAAAAGATGAGAAAAGTTTACCATACGGATGGGACGTTAAACAAAAACCTACACGAAAACAATTCATTTTAATCGCGAAGCAAGCCAATAAAATCTCTTTCTAGAATGCTACAAACAAATCGGAGAACGTCTATGTAAACCAGTATGTTTCACATGGGACTAAGGATTTCCGCGGAATTCAACTTGACCCAGAGGCTAAGCAGGTGAACAAGGAAAGACGATAACATGTAAACATGAAACTTAATAAATCTACGACCCACATATTAATGAGATAGTGATTATCAGTCCAGCGCGGTAACAAACAGTTTAAAATGAATATACCGCGTAATAAGGGTAACAATGAACAAAATTATGAATCCTGGTTTAATCAGACACATCTGAATCGTCCGATGCAGCATCCTGATTGTTTTGGGGAGATGCAGTGCTCCTGGATACCTCGGCGCTTCCGCTATCTGCCGCAGCTTGTCGCGCCTTCAAGGGGACAGAATGAGCAAAAGTAACGAGATGCTCTTAAAAGCGATATAGTTGGAAAAATATTGCAAACCAAAAATGCACCTTCCATTCCGCTGTCAAACGTGCTTCTTCTGCGAGAGCTTCCTGCTCTATCTCACCACCTAACAAAGCTGGGTCCTTGATATGCTTGGCGAGCGATTTTGACATACTGGAATTACAAGGAAACCTCAATATCAAATGACAAAATTGAAAAAAAAAACTGAAGTCATCAGAGAAAAAACCCACGAGAAGGCCCTGAACCGCTTGCACGGCCCAAAAACACCCCTCAGTTTGTCGTCTACAAAACAAAACCGTTTGTCCTTCGGATCAAAAAGATTGTTTGCTCGTATGTACTCCCACATTTTCGATATAACCTTAAAAAAAGAAGTTCACGGCGGTTCCCTAGACACAAAAACAGCTAGTGGGAAGACTCACATCGCATCTTTTCATAAAACGAGCACCAACAATGGTTTGCAGCTCTTCACTCATCAGACATAGCTTGGTCATCCGTCCAAACTTGCCAGAATGATCTCCTTTCGGGGCGTTTTTGTCCTTCTTCTTGGACTAGAAAAACTATTGTAGCACCAAGACAGTGATGACTAGCCTTTTATTGTTCATAATGACTGGGTCTTAAAAAGAAAACTACTAGTTACTAAGAGGGTTCCACGAAAATCCACTTTGTAACAAGAGCTTACACGATTCGATTTTATCGGAACTTGAAAGGGAGTTGTCAGAATCGGGTTAGAAGAGCGAAAACACTGATACCAAGAAAAAAAGGTGCGGGTCGGGATAACACGGTTCAGATAATGAGGATTCCTTGTCTCTCAAATCTTCATAGATGATCTACGAAATAATCGAAACGCAGAAAAGCACTGAGAAATCACGCGAAGTTTTGAATGAACCATAAATGATTTTAGTTGTTTATAAAGAAATTTCAGTGACTAGTGCTTCCAAGAGCTCCTTGTTATAGGTTGTGTAGTTTGCCAGATTTTACATTCATCTACTTGCCAAAAAAGCGTTTTAATTGTAATAAGACCCAAAAATTGCAAAACTTTAAGAAAAAAAATTGTTGCTCACTCTATCCGAGCGATCGGCAGTCTTTTTTAAGATTTGTGCCGCTTTGTCAGCTGCTGCTCTTCGTCGATGTTTAACTGCTGTCATCAAATCTACGTCCCCATCTCCTTCGTTAGCCTAAAATACTCCTTTTTACAGCAGCTGCAACAGCCAGTTTCAATGAAAAACTCCAAATGAATGAAAAAACACCATAAATTCAATGTATGGTTGATATAAACAAAACCGTGAACTTGAATTAAACAAAGAATAAGAGTAAGATATGAGAGGCACGAACAGGATCCCTACAAGGAAAAAGGTCTCCCATGACAACCCTAACCACTGCAGTGAAACCGTCTCAAAAATGAGAAGCGAAGTTGGCGATGTACAAAACCTGAATTGGTGAAGTAGGGTGACAGATTGCAGTCCGTTCATATTTAGTGCTCCGTTCACGAACGCTCGTCTTTGTGGGTAAGGGGGCATCTCCAACAGAAAAAACATGGGGAAAGAAAAACGTCTGAAAGACATCTTTCTAGCACGTTAGTGCGCTTGGTAGATGGAAGGTGGGTCTCGCCTCCGAAGTCATCTAGCGTTTTTTGAACGTTGTTTTCTCATATTTCGCCATGCACTACGTAGGTATCTCAAGGGAGTGTTGAGGCAAAAGGTCCTAGAAATACCGGGGAGGCTGTAGAAAAGAGAAATCCCCAATGCACTCTATATAGCACGATAATCCTGAGCATTTTACTATAAGCGTTCGTAGATTTTTAGAAGAAATAACCTATTTTTTTAAAATTTGGTTACCCCAGATAATCTGATCAAATAAGATCCTTCAAAGAGGCAAGACACTCACAACCTTGTTGCACGAATGAAAATGAAATAAAATGAGTCCTGATTCACAAGTCAGACACAACAGAACGAGTCCTCCTTCGCTTTCAAAGACCGGCAACATGAAAAAGGAAGCGGAAATATGAAAAAGATGAGGAAATGTTCATAGACCTTTCTGGAAGCTAGTCTTTTCTGCCCCTCTTCAGCTTATTCGGGGAATGGACAAGCTCTGACTGTGTCTTAAGTTGCACCATAAGTGACCATGATCAAAAATTCCTGGTTGGCTTGATGAAATAGTATATCTGACAATCATGTTTAAAAGGCAAGTCAGGAAGTTCCCAAACACTACATAATAGATGTCTACAAATCAAAAAAGCATTGAGTAGGAAATATGGTTTAAAGACACTGTTGCGTGACTGATACTTATCACTAGCAGCTTCCCAGCACTCGCAAAATATGTCTCTAGCCCTTTTTCCCCCCTATGATTCATATTGCATAGCAACGTTATTAGCAATATTTAAAAATTCAGCGCTGTATTACGGACAGTGAAATCTCGTCACTATTTCCACTCACGTCCAATGTTAAAAGGAAAGAACAAAACCCAAATAGGAAAAGTTAGCCCACTTTCAAAGCTGCAAGAGCAAAAGATGACGAAAAAGCGGTAAAGGCGGCACCCGGAGACGTGTATTGATTGGATATATAACTGGTGGTCGTAAATGTGTTGATGAATATCATATGAAGTTCTTAGGTTTTAGCTGACTAAACAAAAATAACTGCGCCACATCACTGAAAGGTGACTTACTATCAGACGCTACCTTTACAAAAAACAATGAACAATGCCTGCTACTGCTATGGGTTGAAAAACAACAGATGAGAGAAACTGTCAAGATTTCACTTTCATCCCTCCAGTCACGCGATATCGGAATGACTCGTCAAGTTAAGTGCAGTTGACAGCTAAGGCCATCACCATCAACCCGAACAGACGTTCAGTCGTCTACTCGGTAGATACGTCGGCCAAGGTAGAACGATTACCAGCAGAAATTAGATATTGCGCGCCAACGAGGAGAAAAAAATATATTGTAAGAATTAAAATAAACAAGATTCTAGCCAGAAACGAATACTTCTGGGTAATCTAGATATAAACTTTTTCTGAACATAATAGAGTTTTGCATAATCCGATGAGAAACTCGTCGGAACNCCTCAGCCACACTCTGCCACGCCGAAACAAAAAATCCAACAATATACGCGCCAATAACTTGAAAAGGAGTTCATTCAGATAGTATCAATAAAAAATGCAAAACACACCTTTCTTTTGAGAGAACGCTTCTTCTTTGCCGATGCTCTTCTATCGTCTACCACCCCTTCATCAGATGTGTCACTATCACTGTCTGATGCAGCATGAGATTTCTCCGGACTTAAATAGGATGGGATAATTTTAAAATAACTCCAAATCAGAAAGTCTCCACCTTTTATTTTCTTCAGTACTAGGTGGTTCAGACGAGGCTTTTTCTTCGCGTTCTTCTCGTCTTTCAATTACTTGCTTCGTTAGTAAATCCACTTCTTTGCGAAAGTCATCAAAACTTTGATTAAACGTTGACTGAAAGGGTTATTTATGAACAACACATGAGCAAAGTGCAAAAACGACAGGCTCTTACACTCAAATGGGCCCGAATCTTCGAACTAGTTAGCTTGTCGAGCCCCTCTTTATCGATCATTTTTTCAATGGCATCCATGGCCTCATTTTTATCAACTGGAAACGTGTCCTCATCAGAAGACGACATTCTGAAAGAGTAAACAAAGAACTACAAACAGTAGGATAATCAAAGAAAGCACCAATTCAAAGCTTTTGTTCCCTACAGCATAGTCCCTATCTGGGATTCGTGAAAAGGAAGAAGAAATAAGGTACAGAACGAAAAAAATTGCAGAATAATTCTCAACAATGTGACTATCATCGTAGAATTGAAAGCATCTTGGAAAAGTTCTTCGATGAGTAGCCAATCGGGTCACAAAGAGCAAATCTGTTGGTGCAAATGGTAATACTCTTCTAACTCCTCCAAAAGTAAAGCAATCAACAGGGTGCCAAAAATTATATCGTTCACCAAAATATGCGATCCGATTTCTTCACAGCCTCTTGTTAAGGAATTAAATCGTTATACGAAAGTTACGACTTCAAATGGGATGAGCGAAAACGGGCACAAAAACCCCTTATCCCATCACAGTTTAAAGTGACCGGAAACATCTTCGAATCAAAAACGAATTAATTGCTCGTTGAGGTATGTTGCATTTCATCCTTAGCATATAGTGGAATTTCGAAAAAAAAAACCGGGTGCACTGAATAAAAATCTTAATTCCTTTGCTTGCAAAGGTGCACGGGAAACAGTTATTCATAAAAAGAGTAATAAAAAATAACTTGGAAATAATAACCACTTCATACGCAGCATAGAAAGTGAGACTCAATCAAAGCTGGTGAATCAAAAGCAGTGTCAGAATGCTTTGAAAAATAACTATATTGAAAAAAGGTAAACCCGAAAATTCAATTTAGCTTATACACCTTTGACGGTGAAATAATACACTTTTAAAAACATGTTTATCAACTGATTCATAAAGAACTTGTGTTCAACACTTTCAACTGCGACAAAAAAGATATAGAAATCCTTCAACTGGACTTAAATAATTGAAAAAAAACCGAACTAACTTTGTTGTAAAGAAAAGGCAGCAAGAGAGATGTGTAGTAAAGAAAATAAGCAAAAAAAAGATTGCCATATGTACTCTTGATAGCAAAATTAAGGAGAAATCATTAGATTTTGAAAACAAAAAGAGACTTATAAGAAATGGAGAGGTTCTATCAAGTTCGGCCACTTTCTTGCGAAGGAAATTGGCTCTACAAGCTCAATAGAATTTAGCATCATGAATGTGAAGGCTATTGTGGTTAGGTCTTACACGACCATCATCGACTATGATCAAGGGAATGCGTAAACACAAACACAAAAAAGTAATAACAAACACAAAAGGAGATTCGAAAAGCATCCACACTATACAAAATAACTAGAAACACAATACCGGCGATTTTTATACAGAACTAAACCAATTTAATAGAAATAACCTTGTAAAAAGTGAAAGTTTGGATTTTGTAAACTCGAGTATCGGCCCGAAAATTCGTGGACCGAAGCAAAAAATAACGCGCTCCTGTGGAAATTTGGAGCTCCCGCACAAACCGAGGGCGGCGATTTTTTCGAAAATTTCGAGATACTCTGTAGTTTTTGGGCTCAGTACTTTCCCTCCAGGCCTTTTATTAAGGTTTTACTCATGAAACTATGACTTTAATCATATGCTTAACCATATACCGATTTCCAAAATAGTGTAGTATACGGCGGAGTCAGATTGCCTTCTATTTTCCCTTAGTTGGGTTAGAAATGTAAAAAGAACTAGCAGTTTGCTATGAACTTACCGAGTTTTAGATTATTCGGTGCAGAATGATCCTCTGTTCGACTTCGACACCCTCAAATATCGTTGAAGGGGAATTGGAAGACTGTGGGATCACGGAAAGGCAGGAATGGAATGGTCATGCAACCTGTAATCAGGTGTTATACGAAAAAAAGTGAAGCTGAAAAGGCACCGTCTTGATGGCACAAGTCTAAGCATGAGTTATCGAGCTGCGGGATATTGATTGACGCCGACGCTTTCTGCCTCAACGCGAAGTTAAAGGCGACCGATCATGGGAATAACTATAAGCACTAGATACCTACCGTCCTAGTGAATCATTGAAGCCATTCCTAGCGCGAAATAGGTATCAGTCCGCGAATTGTTAAACACGAAATGCTCCACCTTCGAATGCCTGTTGTTCCCATAAATCTCAAGACGCGAATTCCCTTGTTCCCACCGTTTCCGAGTATGAACACTACTGTGGACATAGTTCGGAAATAGACTCATCAGAATATTGGAACTGTACAAAGTGTAGACTTCTGCAGTGCGGAAACACTTCCCTCAAACTAGCCGGGGCTTTCAAACTGGACCCAACCAAACGGGCCTGGGGCTGTCCCTTTGGCACAATGGCTATGCTGGATAAGAATGACGATACACGACCTATGTCGTACGAAACTTTTCGCTACTGTAGCCTCATAGCTTTTTTTACGCATTGATCATCAAGCTTGGTTCACATCACATCATCACATTCACAGCAACCTTATATATGTTCACGGATTCTCTGATTTTTCTCACAGGGCGCTGCTTGAATCGGTCTCGGAGCTGTAACATTCTTGTGGGAAATACTTCTCTTTCTATGCTGAGAATTTGCGATTTTACAACAACGAACGAATTTGATTTGCAATTGAATCTGATTGTTTTTAAACGAGTAGTTTATACGTAGACTTTGCAGGAACCTACGGCATCTGTTCTCTACTGGGAGCTGTACATGGGAGAGAAGGGGAGCAATGGTACGGTGTTATGCTTCTACCTTGATAGCTCCACTTTACCCAATGCTACCGTCACGGCAGAGAGTAAGCTGTAGTGAGGGTTTGAGCACTAATCTTGGGTTCGCACTGCTTTGATCACGATATGCACTCAATTTTATCTGTATTCGATACACTGGAGGTACGATTCTGAATAAGCTGGGTGTCCCGCGTGCTATTTTACCCGGTCGTATACCATCTGTAAAGAACATAAAACACGCAAAAGTTCTCTTTAGGACTAAAAGAGGACAGCCTTAGCCCGATACAACTACAACTTCTAAGCGAGGCAAGTGGCTCTACCTCTCTTAGTCAAAAAGGTACGTCATTGAGTTTGATCCGAGCGAATTACGAGCATCCTCAGCGTAAATCAGCTGGTTTTACTTCCAGTTCCACGAGCTGATGGGAAGAGAGAAGATGATTTGAGAAGAGCCGTATTTGATGCTGTCGTACAACTGTCTGAAGTTGTATCAGAAGATGTTCTTAGAGTGCAGGTAAGTGTACAGATAACTTTTTGTTTCTGTAAGACCATCGCCAATTTCCCTCCCTCATGCATCCGACGTTCACTGTTTTCAGCTTCCTTTTTTACATTGTACGTCGTGGGATGAGGTTATTGAAGAGCGTTTTCTCGGAAAACCACGTCTGTGTGGTTTTCCTACATGTGCAGAAATTGTTGAAGTGCACTTAAAGAAGCAAAAATATTTTATAGACAGACAGGCTATGAAAGTAAGTAGCTTATCCTTCAAATTTTGTAACCACTCTCCGTAGACGTGCCCTTTTTGTAGATATATGAACATCGCATTGAAAGTGATATGTACTGTTCTCGTTCATGCATGCTGCGATCGGCGTCTATCCGAGCTCAATTGGCTGATGAGCCGTTGTGGCTCTCTGGTGACGTGTCGAGACGAATGTGTAAGTTAACAAGTGATCATCATAGTTACGACTAGCATCAACTTCAGCTGTCGATTTTTAGCTGCGTCATACAAAATTGAAAAGCCAGCAGAAGAAAACGAAGTGATCACGAAACGGAATGAGATTGAGGTAGTTCGGGCTGTTGAGCAGAAGCTCACCGACTTGAGGATCAGGGAAGCAGAATCGTCGACGGAATCAGAAGCGGAAGATTACCCAGATGTTGAGAAGGTAAGCATAGCGGATGTAGAGGAGCAGAATGGAAAAGTCAATTATGTTGGTTTTTCTGGTGAAATCTGCGATGAGAAAGTTTTGCTGCTTACAATCTGATGACCCGCCAACGCAAGTTATCAATCGGGCTTAATATTTTTACTATACTGAGCCCTTTTTCTGAAGATCTTTGGAATCATACATGATGCAACGTAGCGCAGCTATCACGAGTAAGGGGTAGATTCTAAACTGGACCGCACTTGGGGCTTTCACATGGGCGTTCTGGCGCAGGAAGCTGATATAATCATATGAGGCGTACATTTGTTCTTTGTTTATTCTGCATTGTTGTACTGTGCTGTAAAAACAGTCATCTATCAACCATAGCCCCTACTTTTTAGGATGTGAAGTCATACATCGAGACTGTCACGAGCCTGATTGGAGCTGAGGATGAAAATCCTACGCAGGAAAGTACTGGCGGAAAATGCCCCTCGACATCCAGTTCCACCAATTCCTTTAAACCAAAAGCAATTTCAAAAACTGTTAGCACCGATTCTCCCATAAAAATTGAGCGAACCGCATGTAGTCGACGTTCAGTTGGATCTTTGTCTTCAAGCCCAAATCCAAAACTGCCAGATCCTCAAATAGCTCCCGAACTCAAACTTACTAAGACAGAACTTGAGAAGCTTTCTCGTTTGAGGTGAGTCAAATCAAATATTTGAGAATCACTGGTCTTAATTTCTGCTAATGAAATGCCATCATAGGTCCAAATATTCGAAAAGCACAACTAAGAAGCCTATTATTATTGAGCCTACACCAGCACCATTCTTGTCTACTGCGAACGCGAAGGTCTGGTTCGGCCTTTGTTCGTTTCTCATCGAATTATGACCGAATGCAATACAGGAGTCCATCACCGAAGACACGACAGGCTCGTCATGTACAGCAACAACTTCCTCAGCGGTTGAGGAAACTGTTTCCTCTGTTCGATCACTTTTCAGGTATTGCCTTTTCATAACTAATTGTGTTCATCATAGTAGATATTGCGAGTTTTTAAATGTTCCCTCTGATGAGTAGAATCAGCGGGTCACGAATGGGTGCTAGTAGAATGCTTGGGCTTCCGCTCACCAAATCTATTGTATGTGTGCATTTTCAGTTTGGATTTTTAGTTGTGTTGAAATCCTGTTTCCGCCACTACAATTCACGTGCCAGTTCTGGGTTCGATTTATATTTTTCACATTATGGCTCCAGTTATTTCACTTTATCATTGTTCCATTGGAATAACATCTGGTTTTCGAAACACCACTTCTTTGAATAATAGTGATTTCCTTATCTATTTTTGAGGCTTTATAAGGTTTTTGCTTCGTTATTATTCACTCATTGCGTATAGTCAAACTTCTACTGATCATTTCTAACTCATTTATGGTTTTGTTTCCAGTGGCTGGATTACTGAGCGATCTCGTCAATTGTTCCAATCCGGTGGACTTTGCATTTCTGATTCTACGGACTCACTTATGAAGCAATTCTATCGACCATTCGGTGAATATAGCGCAGTAGATAGGGTGAGGAATATTGAACAATTTGTAAACAATCTTCTTCTTTACAGTACGCCATTCTCTACTTAGCTTTTATCCGAGTAGTAGAGTTATAGAAATGAGTTTCCATGTGCATTTTGGACACTCTTTGCAATTCGGGGCTCGGTAGCCCCGGACCCGGTGTTCTACGCTTCACTACAACAGGAGTGAAGTTTTCTGTTGTACAGAACGGAAGTAGCTAAAGTAGAACTAGAGGTAGATATGCCCCGCGACGATCGTATTGATTATGTTAACGTCAGAGATTGGAATTAGCGGACACGGAGAGGAGATTTAAAGCGGTCAGGCAAAAGGGGATTTGAGTTGATTTCTATGTAGCGAGCACCATGCATTTACATACCTTGGTTTCCTCTTCATTTGCGTGTGTTGTGTCACTTTGCAGTAGGTTCCGAATCATGTTTTATTTCCTTGGTAGTCGAGGTTTGTTCTACTACCATATAAGTTTGTTCCGAACACTTTCTCAAGACACCTTTTTCAGAACGAAGTTCTTCTCCCGACCGTCGATTCGATCGATGTTCAGAAGAAACGCCTTCATATATTCCTGGAAACGGTTAAGAAGCCGTAAGTGATTTTCTAAAATTCAAGTTTTGCCGAAGCGAACACTGTAATAGCGAACAACCGTCGTGTGTAGCGCCTTTTCAGCGCTGATATTTGCCTCGGCGATTTTGGCTAAGCGCATTCACTTAGCGAAAAGAGGCCTATGCCTGGTATAAAGAGAAACGGTCACAATTCCAAAAAGTTTTAGCTCACCTGAGCTCTAGTATTGCGGTCTATTTTCTTGGCCAATATGTAAAACAACACAGTATTGATGGCGAGAACTTTGTAGTTCACTATATAACTACCCTTCATACTTTTCAGCCTTGCAAGCTACCAAAGAGAATTGGAGTTCTCGTTTTCAAATTTCAACTGGCTCTATGTCCTTGCTTCCACATTCAATCTGGATCCCACTACTATCACCAACTTTTCCACTGACGTTCTTAAAGTAGTGTGTCTCGTGCTTTTAAAACTGTGAGTTGCTAGCTACTTATCTGATTCAGCAAGCATTAGTTAGTATTCTTTGAACATCTTTCCTCCATTAGTCGACGCAGCTTAGGAGCTTTTTGGTGGTGACAAATCAGAACGAAGGGCGACAGATGGTGTTTTACGGGGTGTGTCAGAGGGTGCTATTCGGTATGCATCATTTATTTGCCTCTCAATCTTATTGATAGTAGTTTCAAAGGGAGACAGACGGGAGGGCTTGGAAAGCTATTCTCATGGATAAACTTGACAAGATTGGAATTTTCAATCGGTGATAAAATAGGGTGTTTACAACGGAAATTTGTTTTGAAAACTTCTTGCCGTTTCCCATGTCTTAATAGATAGTTGAAATAACAACACAACAGGAAGGTTTTTTTTGTCACGCGTGGGTTTCTTTGTGCAGGTCTCGTAGTGTGTTTGACCTCTCTTCCTTTAAATCCTTGGTCAGGTGGTTCTATGAGGTAATCCTTTCTTTTTTCAGCATTTCGAAGTTGGACAACGCAGTG